ATTGAGAGTGCGAATACGATCCTCTTCAAAAGATTTATAATCACACTATATATGTGCACATATATGAGAGTTTAACTCTCTATTTTGGAAGTAGGATACCTCGGTACTGAAAGATTAGACCATCTCGAGAAGAATGCTTTTGGTTTCTAGCTACTTTCAGCTGAGTGATTTGGAGCTGCTCCCAAAGCTTTATAGCACTTATCTACGATTAGTGCAAAAGGGGCACCTGGATCAGGATATTTCAGGGTTGTAGCTTTTGCCGACGCCTCCTTCAGCTGTGCCAATGTTTCGGATGTCTACTTTGACAGCTCAAACTCATTTGTTTTCCCCCTTAATGCATCTGTAAGGAGAAACATGTACTGCTCGCAATTAGGTATCAAGAGTACGTGGAAGTTGATGGATCCCAGAAGATTCTGGAGTTCAGTTGAGTAAATGGGTGGGCGATAATGCGCGATAGTATCCACCTCTTAGGGCATTGGTGTATTCCTAGTACTGTATGTGACATGCTTCAGGAAATCTTTTGTTTCTGACCCTAATACGCATTTACTCTGGTTGATTGTCATGCCGTGGTCTAACAGTTTGTATAATAATGTCCGAATTCAGCGTTCATGTGTGTTTGTATTACCCGGCTAGTGATGAGTAGGTACCTACGTGAACTTTGGCAGACGGCAGTTCACACAGCGAGTCATCCGTAAATCTTTGGAAAGTGTGTGCAGCGTTCTGGAGTCGAAACGGAATCCGCACAAACTCATGTGATCCAAATGGGGTTGTAATTGGCTGTTTTAAGTATATCTTCCGCAGTCACCAAGATACTGTCACAGGCAAGAACCAAGGCAATTTTAGCAAATATTGTGGCACCTGAAGGACTATTAATAAAGTCTTGAATGTGTGATACTGGGTATTTGCTTCGGATAGTTTGCTTATCTAGGTCTCTGTAATCACCACAAGGGCACCAATCGGCCTGAGTTACACTTGGGACCATGTGTAACAGCGAAGCCCGTTGACTACTCGTAGGCCAAATAATCCCCATCTGAGGCACGTAATCAAGTTCACCTTTCGATATATTTAGCTCGTCCGTGGGCCAATCTTCTTGGCATGGCGAAAACTAGAAGGCCATGTGTCCTCGTATAATGATTGGTTTTTAGACCAGCCTTAGGCGTTTCAAGGTTGGTTGCTGACAGATTTGAGGATTTGACTGGCATTTTCCAGGACCTTTCGCCTGATAATGGCGGAGACTGGACTAGGTTCAATGAATGATGCTTGACTGCTCTGTCATTCATATGTCAGAAGATTTCCCGCGCTGCTACACGTCTGTTTTGCGTGTTCATCAATGAGTCATATCTTTCTAGGAAGTCTATGCCGTTGATTACTAGGTCTAAGGCAGCGACAGTGAAAATTCATAACAGACACCACCTAAACCAGAGGTCATGCATCAGTGCTATGAATGTATTCATCTGTGTTTCATTGGCAGCCTGCAGTGTGACGGGGTATTTTTGTTGTCCCATCTCGGTATTAGCTTTTGGTATGATACAGAGTACACCTTTCGTATCAACCAAGAAGTTTACGCAAGAGTTTCTATCCGCGATGTACAATGAGCAGCTATCCATCACCACTTCTGAGTAGTCACTACCTGAGAAGAGATTAATCATTTCCCTGTTACTTATGATGCAGTTTAGGTCAGTCACGTGGTTGTGTGCATTTCGTCGACTACGCTCCAAACCATCAGGGATACCAACAGAATTGGCTTGTAATTTGTCTGGGTCTATTGCCTGATGGAGGACGTACTCTATTGAGCGATATACCACGTTTGCCCTATGTTAACTTCGTTTGTGCCAGTTGTTCTGTTAGTGACCTAATACTGACCACTAGTTGTAGGATTATTACGTCTTTCCTCACAGTCAAATGGTGCATCTGGTCCGCGATGCATCTGTGTTCAAGAAAGTGGTCAGAATCTTGTGTGTCTAGTGCCCGCTGTACATTCTGAGTGGAGGGGTGTGATCACAATTGATATGATTATGAACAATAAATTTTGTTCGAAACGTCATCCAGTAAATAATACTGTTTCACTGTGTGATATACCTAATAAACAAACTAATATGGAATTACTTACTACCACAGTGCCCAAGTTTTACACATATATTAATATGACTTATGGAGGGGTGCTTGTTTTTAGCCTTTTTTCATCACAGCCTCTACCACTGTAATGTCTCCTACAAGTTGTTGCGGGTGGCGGAAGGACTGTAATGGTGAACTGTCTTCGATGTTCTCCCACTGAAGTGACCAATCTAAACTTTGGTTTTCCGACAATGACGTTTAATCTCCACGTGCCTAAGCACTGTGCGTGACTGCTTGTTTGAGGTTGAACTGTAAGGTGCCGCACCTCCTTGCTAAATCTCATATGGCAACCGGCGTTAAACGTTTCTATACCCGGTGGTTTTAGACTTAGTGCTAAACCGGTCGAAGTAGTGTGATAGTTGAAAAAACCCAAGCTCCGTATCATGGGATCAAATTCAGGTTACCATGGAATCTACTGCTGCAGAAGTTCAGTTCCTATGTCTTGGGAATGAGGCATTATGTATGAATAAAGACAACAGACTAAATAGTAAGCACGATCGAAAAGCAATCACGGAACATCCAAAAGACAGCGACGTTCAGATCGTAGTCAGCTATAACAGAATAGAACGCCAGATATAGACGAAACTGAATCGCCAATTTAGAAACCAACTTTCCTACCAAAATAATCTTTCAAATTAATGACCAATGTTCGGTATTGCTGTGGAAAAGTAGTGGTGTTTTCAAACTTTTATTTTCGAAAGCACGGCAGAGGGCAAGTGAAGTGGAAGACCTAGTCAAACACAAGTAAACAGCATTCATCAACCAAAAGATAATGGAATCCTTAGAAATCATAGGGAAAATATAGTTCCCGCTTGGTTACTCGTCCCATCCTTCTGAGTTCCTTAATCACGTATTAAACCGGAGTGGTTATGGCATCCTGTGTTATAGAAGCCCTAAAATTGCATATCACACTTTGGCTTTGTATGTAGGAAGGGAAGGCAGTACGACAGCCTGTTTCGAAATATTTGATTGACTTTAGGCAATCAACTAATCCGGCAATGGTTTTAAGGTTGCTTAACCAAATGGTGCAGATCTGTATGACATCCTAGTTCTACAACTACTCAAGACAACAGACACACAAACATTATTCATGAAGCCGCACGTTTGTGAACAACGGGATTTCGCACAATGTTCAAGGCACTGGTTGTGTTATTAATATGTTACTCTACATCAATCATACCAAATTAAATGTGCCTAGTTACCTGTTTTGTTTCAGTATACTGCCTAACCTGTAATTACTGATAGTAAAACACAAGACAAAAAGACTCAATGAGCAGTACATGTGAGTGCCACTGGGTGTTAGGAATATTTGCATCAAAGATTTTGGAACTTATTTGGCAGGTTTGACTGAGCTACAGGCTCTTGGAATGTAGGCGTTCCCAAGACAATAGATGAGTGCGAAATGGAGAACGAGCCTATTCATATGTGTACACGTTCAGAGAAAATATATGACACTTCATCAGGAACTCGTGGGCAGACTAGTAGTCGGCTTAGTTGAGACTAGGTTAATTCAGTTTCAGCGATGTGTTCTAGTCCTAGTTCCATTCTGTTGGCATAGAAAGGATACTACAAATTCATGAGTTTCGATTGGTTGTGGAATAAAACCAAAGGGTGAGATGAGGAAATGCTAGTACTAGTTTATTCATTTTGTAAAATTTACCCAAGTCAAAATTAGCATTAATACAATTAGTGATAGTCGTGTTAGTAGTAGTGTTGTTAGTTATTACCAGTACTACTGCTATTCTGGTTCATGTGCAGTTTCGGCTGCTATTTATTCACATCCATCGAATACTGACGGAACTGAAAGTGCATGCGACAAACTGACATGCAAGCGACCACGAAACATTCACTAAATATCGAGTGAATATACGAACGTACATAGTTCAATACTCGGAAGGAACAGTGGACTTATTCTAGAGGTTATCTGATCTCGGAATATGAAGTGAAACTGACGATTAATTCTAAGTGTAAAACTTGAGCATTGTAGGAGTATGCAATTTCGAAAAACCGAAGTCTCTGAGTTGTCTAGTTATAATTCATATGATTATGAACAATAAATTGTGTTCAAAACGTCATCTTGTCAGTTATAATGCCCTTTCACTGTTTGATATATCTAATATACAAATTGATATGGAAGTGAGAGTCTCCTGATTGCACAAGCGCCAGGAGCCCCATACACAAACGACAAAGTGTCACAAGATACTTATGGTGTGCAGTGAAAAACCCTGGAAACGGTGATTGAGATAGGAAGAAAGTCAAAAAGATCAAATCGGAAATTCATCTTCAACTACTGTTTCCACCAAACAAGCCTAACTCAACGCTTATAAAACTAATCCACTTAGGCATGTTATACGCTTACAGAAACTAATTCCACTTATGCTCGTTCAATATTCGCCATCGTATTATTGAATCTCGCTTTGCGTTTGTTATGTGCATATATATTTTAAGCAGTTATGCATATTTTACGTTCGTCTCACACCTTTTGAAATTCGATTTCGTTGATAGTACATCTTTTCAAGCTTTCACTTTTGCTTTTTTACACACCGTCGTTTGTCTTCGACCGACTGCAAAGTTAGCACATAGTAGAACGTGAAAACGTGGAAGTACTATGGTATCATAATCAGTATCATAATAATTGTACCATGCTGTTATTCCCGAAAACAAGATTCATTGATGACATACACATTTTGTGTGTTAGAAAGGTAGACGTGATGTCCATGCGGAGACGGATGATGATGACAGTGAGAAAAATCCATTGAAAAGTAAGAAATATTTTATTTGCTAGAAACTACATTACAAGAAGTGAGTACATCAAATGAAAAGTAAGTGGGACATTATCATTATTAATATGATTTCCATATTTATAGAGTCACAAAAGTCCAATACTACTTATAATAATGGTTATCTTCATTATCATCTTCATCATGGCCATATTCATCCTCACCATCTTCGTCATGACCATCTTTATCATGACCGTCTTCATCATGACCGTCTTCATCATGACCATCTTCATTATCACCATCTTCATCATAATAACTGATAACATAATCATCGTCATCTTCATCAATCCCATTAGGATTGAACTTGGCGGAATATTTCTCATCTTTGGCGTCTCCAAGTATTTTGTAATCAGGAATGATGAACGTGGCTGGACACAAGACTTGAGACTCAATTTCCCCTTTAAGTAAATCCTCATCTTCCACATCAACATCAGGATCAAATAAATCTAGATGGCTAGGGTATTCTGATGGACAGTTGACGAGTGATGACGCTTCATTGAAACAGAATACCAATTCGTGTAAGTAAACACTTCCAGCCTACACAATGCAAAATGATGAATACGGAAAAGAGAATTGTGTTAATTAGGTAGTTACAAAAGTAATGATTCATCACTCGAAATGTGTTTCCAACACAAACCTTCACTTATCTCTGAATTCCAAACACACAAGCTGAATATAATTAAAACCTGATTCCTCTGATTGGTATTACAAGCTACTGACATGAATTCTCGTTGTAGTTGGCGAAATCAAGAGATTTGCAAATTCAATCGATACACACCTATTCAACGAGCTACACAGCATGTAATAGATCGGAAGTATATTGACATGATGAAATATTTGAAAATATGTGTGCAAAGAAAAGACATAACCCACCTCACTCTGTGCACAGATCAGCTTGGGCAGCACACCGAATGTTTTCAACAGTTTGCCTTCCACTTTTGCAGTCTGCATGAATAGAGTGGACGAATGTAGTTTGTGAATTAGTGTGATTATTCAATGTTGATTACTCATAATTAGAATGAATTTGTTTGATGGACAAATTGAATGTCAACTTACCCAGTGAACCTTCTTCTCTAATATGTTATGGAGCTTTTTAACGTTTCTAAAATGAAGGTAAATGTGTGTTATTAGTCGAATGTGAAAGATCACATCAAGAAATGTGCTTGTGCGTCAGTATTGTCTCGATGTAGAATGCAAACACAGAAACTACTTGATACATTCCTCGACCCAGTAGTTCCGGCGACGAATCGAATCTGAATCAAGACACTGACTCATCTATCCTGACTCTGATACTATCATCCTGCTTATCACTTCGGACCGGTATGTCCCATAAATCGCATACTTCATCAGCATAAACCAACTTGTCTAGTCCAGTCCAGTCCAGTCCCTATTTAGATCAGTCCACAACTGAGTGCAACATACAGTTCACATGGTAATGAAGCTGAGTATGGACACTGTGTTTTTTGAGTGTGAGATTACTGTGAGAATGCACAATTTTTATCATGGGAAAGATAAATGAATGTGAACTGGCACAAATGCAGCTTCACAATCCACACAATAAAATGATTACTATAACTCGAACAGTAATAACAGTAATAATAATAACCACATTTGAAAAGAAACATGTGTCGACGTACTTTGGCGTCATCAGCTTTTTGTAGAGATTAATGCCGTGATTGAAGTAGAGAATTGGACTGGGTCCAGATTCACCCATAACTGTACAAGCTCCATATTTATAGTACACCAAGAAGCTGAAATATAAAAATTTTTGTGAGGCAACTAATTAGAATGCACGGGAACAGCTTCAGCATTAGCAAGTCATATCGCTGGTAGATTGTCACCACCACCACCACCACCACCAACATCAACAACAAAAACAACAACAAACAAACAGGCAGACACACACGCACACAACCATGGTGTTCATGGATACTTTTGTCTAGCATCCACACATCTTCACACCAACTGATTTCACTTCACCAGAAGTGGGATTTCGAAGTGTGGATGTGTCAAAAAGGCGATCACAAATCCTTCAGGTCAATGAATATTAGCGAACAATCGCCAACACACACACATACCCATGCGCACTGCTTCGCTCTGATTGGTGAGAAACCACAGAAAAGTTCATGATATACGTAGTTGTGTGAAAGACAATAGCAAAAATGAGAGGTAACTAACTGTGTGAAAGTATCATGAAATGGATCAGTCCAGTAAGTATTCAGATCAGGTATTTGATTCTGAAGATAAAGGGAAAGGGGATAGAAAATTACAGTAGAATGGTTAAATAACGCTCAATGTGTGCTATGCCAGATGCTGTTTCACAAGTCCCGTCAGTGGTGCAAGTTATGCGAGTGAATGAAATGGTGAAATGTTGTTGTGTGCAAGGATGTAATATTTTGAAGACACCTGCGTAAAATGCCAGTTTTGTCACTCACAAAATCCAGCGCCGAGAAGCTGTGACCTTTTAAACATGTGATATTCATCCAGTCAAATTGAGGTGATGCTCTGAAATTGTGAAAAAAAACTCAGTATTAGCACGAAAGTTGTAGCAAATAATATTTAAACACTGAAATCATCCTCGGGACAGAATCACCACTTCAGTCACACATCAATAAGCGAGCATATCTGTGAAAGTGTTCTTCGAACAAGTGTCTACCTAAATAACATGATTTCATCCTATAATATCTTCTATCACTTATCCCAGCTTTGTTAGAGTTTACTCAGGGAAAATTCTCCGACATCCGATCAATATATAAGTTATCTAATGTATACGAAGTGTGCCCTACCATATATATCGTTTGAGAGGATTGATTATGATACTATTTAGGCGAACTTTACAGACCACTGTGTAATCATTCAGAAGCATTATTGCAGTGCAGCCAGTCACATATCCACTCACATTCATTTGTCTTCTTGTCATGGAGTAATTCATTTTGCATTACACCGACTGTCTGAGTGATCTCACCAAATGTGCACATCACCAGAGATCAAATGTGCATTATCATCATGAAACAAGTCAACTGGTGTCAACTGATTAATCTTATTAGTGCTGATGATTATCTTCTCAACTCTATCCATGTTCACATCCCTTAGTGAAGTACTGACGTGTATCGGTGGCACAGCAATTAGGACTCTCGCCGACCACACACATAGTCTGGGGTTCGATCCCCTGCAGACGCACATCTGATATCAATGGTCGGCCTGCAAAATTTGGGCTACCGATATCACATGCTGAAAATTCCATACTTGTACCAAAAATACAGTGTGGAGTCAAGCTATACAAAAAATAAAAAATAAGGAAAATACATCCAACTTATTCATTGCATTTAGGGAAGCACCACATCCCGATGATGTCAGAGAATGTGTCAATGTACAAAACACAAATACACAGTAATCTCACGTCAGTTTCGAAATATCCATAGTTATATTCTTCGGGACAGTACACTGAAAAGCAAATTGAGATTTTTATTGGTCGACTGAAATTAATTAAACTGATGAGTACTGTAGACGTCAATCTGATATGTGTGTGTGTTTGTAATGATTGTACAACATGTGGTTATGTAGTTCGATATTGGTTTGTCACGATACGCCTCACACACTGACACTGATTGATGTTTCAGATATATGGTTATGGTTACAAAGAATAAGTTGTGTTGCAAGTAGCATTCAACGAGTAATACTCGTTCACCAGGTGGACGGAATGGACATGATACATGCATTTTGCGGGATCTCTCCACATCGATCTATGTCTGAACTCAGATGTGTATATGTGTGATGTTGGTTGAAGAACTCCAACGTCCCCAATTGATGAATGGACGCACGAACATTCATCACTTGAGCCTGATAACTCGCTGACACTAAAGCGTATCACCGCGTAAATGACTGCTTATCGGGTGACTGAACAGGTTGATTTTGTGATGTCTGTGACGCCAACAAACACTGTCACGACACATCCACGTGAGGGTGGATAGTTGACGAATCGAAATGATGAAATGATAACAATAATAACAATCAACATAGTCACCACAAAGAGTATGTGCATGAGTAAACTTACATATCTGTTGAGACAGTGTGTTGGAAGCCAACGTAAATGGAGCATGTATGTCTTGTTGGCATTGGATTGAACGAGTAATGTGTGGATACACACGAGAAGACTGAGAATGAAGAGTCTGTAAGGAGAGGAAGAGAATGAGAGAGACATGCAAATTATGACTAAAGTGAGTGCTTCATTGTGATTTCCTCGCATTTTGTGCTAGACGCGATGCTCGGAATACAAATGAAACAATAACTCTGCATGTGTAGCGACATAAAAGGAGATGGTGCATGCCTCATTTATGAATACGAGAAATCACATTGATCATGGTAACTCACTGCATGATGTAGACGTTCAAATCTGAGAGAAAAATAAACAGTCACTATTGGATATCGTAATGAGAATAAAATCATTGAGAAAACAAATTCCCGTGCAGACTGTTGCGATTCCTTGATGAATTCATGTTGCATAGCTATTCATGTGTGCATGTGAGTGGATTCATGTGCAAGTGGATTGTAATGTAAATGTGGAATCTCCTTCGCTTCGATTACTACAACAGACCGACTTGCACACAGTCAATGTTTCAGTATGGCACATAATCGAGTATTTCATCAATTGTTCAAGTCCGTTGTGTGTGCTTTCAATGGATGTTTTGAGTTGAGTGCATATCAGACATCATGTCCGTGTTGATATTAAATGCTCCTTCGTTTATTGATCTGAGTGCATATTGTGAGGGAACGTCATAGGGAATATCGCATTTCAGCAGTGTGTATTCTCATTGTCAACACCACTTGACAGTGAAACAACCACACATGCATCTCACCGACTATCTCTGACCATGTAGGACAAATCAATGAGGGACAAGTCTCCTTCCTCAAATGAGAAGACCTTCTATGATTGAATATCAGAGTCGTGTTGTTCACGTACAGAATAATGCATCATGATAACAGCAAAGAATATTGAAAACGTCGTGGACTTACCTATACACAGATGTGGTCTACCCGTCTGCTCAAAACAATGAGTTGTCTCTGTGAATAGCCAGTCTATTTATACCTGATTCACCTGAAATCTCTCAAATACAATTGGTGTTTCAAAAATTAATTTGGCACACGGATTATGAAGATAAGAAATGAAATGAAGTAGAATATACATTTTAATGGAATGTGAGGTGAGGTGAAGTGAAAGTATGCGGTCAAGTTAATTTTGTTTATCATTCTGTTTCAGAATATTGGCTAAAAGATAATTAGTGTAAGAAGTGAGTCGTTTTCATCGTTTGTTTCTGTGTGATTTATCTAACCAGCAACTCAGTGGACGTTGATTTGTGATTTTCAACTGCTCGTCGACAGACGGTGGAAGGGAAGGCATCTTGAGAATGTGATGAGTGGTTTACAAACTTCATCCAAATAGGCACCAGCCGTTACAGAAATTCAGGAGGTGGAAATCTCCTGTCTACTGAAACTCTGCATCAAATAGATAATTCCCTTCTGTCTGTATGTTGTGTTCTTACAGTGCAGTTTCATCATGGAGTTACATAAGTCAGGATTATGCAAATCAAATCTATGAGTATTTCCCATATTATGAATATATGCTGAACATAGTGTATATTTGTGATATTATTTGACTCACCGAAAATCGATTCACATGTGATATTATATATACTTGACACCATAGTGAATCATAATCTGTGTCCGCAGTATGTGTCTGAGGGTTGACAGGTTCAGATAATTGTATGAGAATCTATTATGGTTAACTTTTTCTATTACTGTGTTGTTTAAATGCTCAGCACTGTTTGTTTCTATTTAAAGTATGTTCACAGAACAGATAACACCGTCTACTTTGCTAGTTCTCTAGCTTCCCAATCAATCCTAAGTCCGAGAAAAGTTGGAAGGTTGTGGGATGGGGGTGGCTAGTGAACATACTCCGAAGGATCAATCTAGCAGCTACCAAAACTTCACAGCACAAGAAAAATATAAGAAAACAATAACTCATTCTTCCCTGGAATCAGAGAGGTGAAATGGTGTAGTCTGGTGAAAGCCTTCGCGAAGCCAGTGAGCTGATGTATATTCTTTCGATGAAAGCGAAAGTAATCGGTGGAACTTTGAATGTTCGTACATTGTATGAGGCTGAGAAGACTGGCCGGGTAGCCAGAGAAATGAGAAGATAAAGCACGAACGTGCTAGGAGTTTGCGAGAGCAGGTGGAATGGAAATGACGGTACGAATTGTTAACTGGAGAAACAATAATCTACTCCTGTCAGCCAGGCGACAACCGCGATCACACTGAAGCAGTGAGTGGCTATCAAGCTGTCACCAGTAGCAACCAGAACTCTAATGCTCTGAGAACCAATCTTATCTGTGATAATGGCAGGAAAATTCAAATGAAAATGAACGGAGGTTACAGCCATCCAATGCAATGCACCTACAAAGAAAGCGGAAGAAGACAGAGAGGAAAGTTTCTGTAGATAACTACCAACAATAATGGATAAGATACAAAATGTTGTAATTGAAATCCTTAAGGGCGATGTGAATGCCATCTGCACTGGGAAAAAGCAATTTAGGAAGTGAATTATTCATAGGTTGAGAGGCTCTCAGCGAAATGAATCAGAACGAAGAGCCCTTCTCGCGATTCTGTGCATTCAGTGATTTCGTGATTGGAGGCTGAATGTACAAACACAAGGATATAACCAAAGCAATATGAACTTCGCTTGACGGACACACCACAAAGCAGATAGAATACATCTCGGTTTCATTCAAGAAGGTGGGGACGCAGCCTGCTGAACACAAACTTGAGAGGTGGAGCAGACGCTGGCTTAAACAGTCATTTCGTCCAAGCAAACCTCAAGGTAAAGATGAAAACACTGAAAAGATCTGGAGATAGACCACCATTCAAGTTTAATACTCAAATACTGGGAGGTACAACTACAACAGGCATCTTCATTGGAGATATCAGTACAAAGGCAGAGATATTACGTGGCATCACTAAAGAAAACTGAGTGGGGGAGTACTCAAACTCTCCGAAAGCGATGTTTAAGTAAATGTGTACAACCATACTAGGAAGAAAGGAGGGGGATAACAAGCAATGGCTTTCAACGGACACTTGGAATCTAATAGATGAGAGTGTGATGGTGAAACACAAGATGAAACAGTGCAAAGATGCACAGTGAAGGGAGAAGCCGAGTACTATGTACATCTCACTGAATAAAGAGATCAAGAAGAGTGCTAGGAGAGAAGAAAATTCCCTATTCGTTCCAAAATACTGTGGAAGCAAGGTATAACAAAAATAAAGACAATACAAAACACTGTCAACTGAGACAGAAGAGTTAGAGTGTAGGTCAACGAGACCTCAGAAAACCACATCAGATAATCAGTTGCCAGTACTGGAAAAGATCAGCGTATTTGAAACTTATAAATGACGATAAAGGGAAGCTGACTATCAAAGAGGAGAAACAAATAAAACAAACACTAGTGACTTGCCCTATTCAGGTAGGTAGTTGCCTGGGGTTCTAGTGAGAAGTCGTGACCAGTAGGGTGCAGCAGGTGGGGCGTGAGGACAAATACTCGCCAAAGACATTGGCTAGGGGTCGCGCTATGTCGTGAATTGGCAAAAGTTAGAATTCATGGACCATTGGATCGGGTCCCAGTGGCTTAATGGCATACGAGCTCGCCTTGTAACCAGAAGGTCCTGGGTTCGAGTCCCGGTGGGTGCGTACTGCTGAAGAGTCCCAAACTAGGACTAAACAGATGTCCATTACTTCCAGGTTTTCCAATGGTTCTCTAACTAATGTCAGCTCATGATAAAAATCCTGTAACCAGTCAAATCCCTACAAACCAAAACATGAAAATAAAGCAATGAACTGATCACTTCAAATGACTCGGCAATTGACTATCACCTCAAAAACGTCGAGAAATATTACTTACAGCTGGTACAGAACAACGACAAGGTACCAAACTACCTTTTAAAGCGGAATTACTGAATGCAACGAAGCTACTGAAAGTCAAACTAGAAAGCAACTGGACCTCATGAACGTGCTCCAGAAGCGTTGGAAGCTGACATATAGACTGCAGAAGACATGCTGACTGAACTAATAAAAAGAGTTTGCAAGGAAGGAAAGGTACGGGCAGATGGTAAGGAGGGCTAACAAGTCAAACAACCGATGGAGGTGAGATTCGAAACAAATTACACATTATGGAGTGCAGCGCCACAAATCATTCTCAAACTCTTTCAACACCTGAGTGACAATGCCATATGTCAAGTGATTAACGATGGGGATCTCAGTCAGTATATTACAGAGAAGATAGCAGCTAGACAAGGACGATTACTATCACTGATGATATTCCTGGCTACGGTGGACTGGATTATGCGGAACACCTACGTTGGTGGCGAGAAGAGAGGAATATGTTGAACGGATAAGAAGACTCCATTTGACGGTTTAAGGCAATCAACCACGCGAAGCCTTGCTTCACTCGGGTTTCGTGGTTGTTGGCACTCACCAGTCAGCATATCTGCATATCTGCGTAGTGGCCAATCAAAGTGTCTATCTAATACAGTCCTAAAGGAAAAGAATCGCTAATCTGAATAGCTCGGTGGTAACATTCCTGAATGCATCACTGAGTGACGTGGGTGTCACAATTTCAGAATGGACACGAATACCTTGAAGACTGCAGATACGCCTTGCTGACTGACTGGCAATTACTGATATGCATGAGACTTAGGTGAAGCGAGGCATCCTGACGATTGCTTTCAAACATATAATAATAATAATGAGAGCCTCATCTATTGTTCACTCTCACCACATATCGTTGAGAAAGAGTAGACATTCTAGTCTGTCTGTGACTGATAACTTCGGTCGGTGTTGTGGTTCCAGGTACTGGAATTCGGTTGTCTCCATTTTCAAACAAGAGTCATAATAAACGCTTCTGATGAAGAAATAAAACACTTCAAGTCAACTGTGCTTGTCCTCACATTGTGTGTGCAATATGAGTATGACTCGAGTTGATTCATTCAAACATCGTGGATGTGTGGCCCATATGATTGCAAACCACCAGTGCGTCGTCAGAATACCAGCACTAATGGGCGGCTCTCTCTATCTCCAGTCTGTTCAAGATGAGTCATGAATATGTCAACAAGAACGGGTGTCAAAATTATCCCAAAGCTAACCAGTCAATTTGTTGTTATAGCTAATGCTTCACCCGAAACTGAACATTCTTTGTACAAATCAGTTGTGAATTTCCTAGTTCCTTTTCAGACAGAGGAAGTAGATCAGACTGCTGTCCAGTGGATTTCCCCGTCCCCGTCTCATCCATGAGTATGCTAGTGAACAGTGAACAAATCATGTCGAATTGGAATCCTTGAAATCTACACCATCAGTTTTGTTATTGTTCCGTTTACCGGCGTTCGGCTGTTTCAATGAGTACAGATTCGATAATCAACCTCTGTCTCCATCTGGGTATATCACTTCTCAATAATTTCACCATTCACATCCTCCTAATCTGTGATTGATTATAGGTGAGTGAATGCATTGTAATGCCTGATATCTCTCCGAAGTAATTCGACTTAACGTGGTCAATAATTGTAGGCCTAGAGAAATTCTCACCTCCTGACCATCTTCGAGGTTCAACTTTGCTTTTGACCTCACAGTCATTGCATGATACTTGGTATATCAATGATATGATATTTCTCGTTATTCAGGGTGTATTGAGTGCTTAGTTGACACAGTCTTTCTCTCATTGAGTAGGTTGGTTTGAAGGCTACTCTAATTCCAGCTTGAATAAGAGTCCTACGTATGGCTTCTCATGTCCCCTCTTTATATGGCATTACTATAGAGATTTCCAATTCCTTATTACCCCTGTTAACTTCATTATTTACACTACAACGCTTATTTCCCATAGAGGTTTTCATGCACACATTTTTGAATGAAATCTGGTGTGTAGTTATCCACAGTTATTCCTGTTTGATTTCATTGTTGAAATCTTCTGACTTACGAGCTAGTCTCCTAATTCGGCTTCCCAAGCAACTAATTGAATCCTACTCTACAGATTTTGGGTGACGTGAATCAAACATCAAGTACTCGTCAGAATGTGTGGGCTTTCGATAAATCCTACTCTACCATCTTACCCACCATCACGCTTCCACCTGATGTTACAGTCTGTCATTGTTAACTCACCCTGTGCATTATGTAAATGAAGAGTGGGTTGGAAACTATCTGCAACTGGATTACGATGAGTGGCTAAATAAAGGGGTAAGAAAATATTTGAGAAAATAATTTCACTGATTTCAAGTGTCATCTCTCCACATATCTCGACGATAAAATGGGAGGAAATGGATTAGAAGTTCTGCGAGATTTACATTGACGACTGTACATATATACTGTGAACTTTACAGGATACGTGCGATCCAAATGCCCCCGTGTAATTTCGTTTGTTTGCATGAATATTTCAGGTGAAAATTCGACTACATTGCAGGTTAGGCATAATTTGACACCTAGTGTTATCTCATAAACAGGGAATTTCGCATTATTTGCGCGTTGCAAATCAATGTCGAGCTCATTCCCTGACTTACAAGGCATCAAGAGTGGTCGAAGTTCACTGGCCTACACGTGGCAGTTACATACTGCTACCAATAATCATACTAGTAGTAGTAGTAGTAGTGGTAGAACAAATCGTTCTGTGAGCAGTTGTAATGGTTTCATATATTGCTGTAGTTATCATAATTACCAGTAGAAGTGTTAGTATTGATGACAGTGTTATAATTATATATTAAACTCAAAGTGAATATTTCGATTCCGAACTGTGTGATTGCAATACCGAATCCAAAATAACAGGAGAGACACCGATTGGAGAACTGCTCCTCATCAATATTATAGTCAGCTAACTGAGACCACAATGCTGTTCAGCAGTACTTGCAGATATTTCAGACAGTATCTACAGATAAGCCGAGTCCTCCGCCCACTCTGCCAAACATAACCACACATTGAAACGACATCATTCTCAGTACACGTTGATTAACAGACTCCACACACACGATACACAGTCTCCATACGAAACACACTCACACACAAACGCGCACAAACACACACTCACCACTGCTTCCTCACACACAACATCAAGGTGAATGAACATCTTATTGATCTGTACACATACCTGTAGGCTGTGGTAGTCAATGACCTTCAATAAACAAACTAATCATGCCTCTGTATTGACAGTGTGGTGTGATCATATTCCACACTGTGATAAAGACAGTTTCTCTAGTTATTCAACTGTAATCTCTCTTCATCTCATCGTCTTAATTAATTATCAATTTGATAACAAGAGAGATTTTATGAAGAGAAAAGTGAATTAACCATGAGAATGACCTTAAAGAAAGTGGAAGTAGGTCAATGAATGACGCGAGAATGTGGTGATTATAAGAAATAAGAGAAGGAGTAATGTCATTGTGTGTATACAATATTAATAATAATAATAATTTGCTTTATTCCAGAAATAGTACTAGTGGTACAGTGTGGAATTTTCAGCACATGTCTACAATATTTGCATCTAATTTTACCAACATTTACAGTTAGTATTAAACAAACAAAAAAATAAATCTGAAGACACTTACAGTAAAAAAAACAAAAAACAAAAACAGGATAAACACAAAATAATTATAAATGCGAAAAAGTACCAAAGTCTACCAAAGTCTAATGCAGTGTTTGTGGTGGTAGTGTGAGTAATCCTGAATAATACAAAATTTTTTTAAGGTGGTGACTATGGCGTTCACAACCAATGATTGCCAGTTTAATATTGCCGAAAGTATAGAAAATAAGAAAAACAACCTCAAAAACTAATAATTACATGATGATTAATGACAGGACAATTTTGTAATACTCATAGTGCTAATTGAGTCGGAACCAGCGGATATGCAATAGAAGGAATATAGTAAAGTACAAAAAAGGAAGCTAATGTTAATATTTTAGGTAGCTAAGTATGTTTGAAGAAGGAGTTCACTAAAGAATACAAAATAAGAGAGAAATAAAAGAGCCTAAAATTATGTTGTTTATAACAAAGCAAGTCATAGGTTTCACACTTAACATTGTCTCAGAACACGGGCCAAGAATGGTATCGTTGAGTTCCTGTACTTGGTTGTACGGGCATAGATTATTTAATACTGTTTTCTGGTTTTACTTGATGAGATACAAGGAGAGAGATGGGAATAGAGGGGGTGTTGGCGGTCTGAGAGTATGGTTTTTGACCATTTTTCGCATGTGTTCAGATGCCTATCAACTAAAGTAGTGACGAGCTGACTGAGATTTACACCACTAGTCCCACTGACTACGTTCAACATCCTTCTCAGGATGGTATGGTCCTTAGAAGGACGTATGACAAAGGAGTATGATGTCCAGATGAATGAGATGCTTGCATTGGGATAGCAGAACACAGAGGTACTTGGCATCACTGTTGCTCATTCGACACACTGACATGATGCAATGACAAATTGTGAGAAGCCTACATTGAAACGTCGTTTGTGTTAGGTAGAGATGTAAGTTGTGCGATATTAGTAGTAGGGTGTATACCGAGTAACGGGACTGTGGGCTTAAGGTAGTTAGCTGCAAATGTTTTGTTGAATATTTCACACATGTCTGCAGAATCAGTGCATAGCCTGCCTATGTCTATGAGGAGAGAAATGCATGGATTTTGGCGACTTAATCTCTTCTTTAGGATTTCTGTGAGAGCATACAGCCTAGCAGGGCTGACTACTGCGGTGTGTTCTTCGCTGTAATACATTAAGTGTGTTCAGGTAGTACATTAGACAGCCTCCCCCGTCAACGCTCTGCCTGTCACATTGAAAGTTTGTTTAAATATGGATGCCTATCTCCTCGTCTGGTATATTGGAGTGACACCAGGATTCAACAATAATGATTATTTCTGGTTTGTATACCTGCGTGTGTACCCTGAGGATCGACATTTCTTTTGGAATAGATCTAGCATCAATAGGGATTAAGTAAATTGGAGAGTTGAAGTAGTGTTTGAAGTATTTACGCTCGTCAGTCAGGCTCAAGTGTGCGTCGCCATCCACCGGTTACGCATGGAATAACAACCCTGTGTGGCAATTAGTTGGTGTAGAATGTCCACCTATATCTATCGAGTTACTATCTATTTCTTTTAGTGAATAATGAGTTTTATTATTGGATTCACTATAGGGTGAGCTAGTTCTAGGTTTGGGTAGGTTGTAGACTTGTGTAGGAGTTTTCAAATGGCCTATGTTTGTACAAAAATTATATGTGATTAATTATTCTGTCTGCACTAATGTGTGTTCGTTTTCCTCCAGATAGCGAGTCGGCATAAGTGGTACGGGTTCAGAAGAGTTAACATCCCCACCAGTTGTTTGGTGAGAGATGTGGCGGATACAAATTCATTGGTACCTTGTGATGCCCATGACTTATTAATCTACCGATTGTTTGGAGATATTCAAAGTATCCTTACATGGGTTTCATTATATGCGTTGCTGCATTGTGGTTTAATTCCCAGTAGACTTGTGGCGTATATTCTGTCAAAGTTTGTTTGTGTGTCACACTCTGAGTGTTGCCACTTGTACCATTTTGCATGATGGTTCTGCTACACCAGGTATTAGTGTGGGCTTCAGTGTGCCTGCTGCCCAAAAAATAAATGCACGGCCCAACCTGTACGACCAAGAGTAAATCATGTCGCCTCAGTTAATAAGTAATATGCTGTGCTGAGCAGTATATTCGAATAAGAAGGAAGTCAATTTTGTCCAGACAAACGACTACGGACTTATCGAATTGGTAGAGGTGAATTCAAAACTTGGAGAATGTGCGTCTTATCAGCATAACGGGAAGCGGCGAGACCACGTTCCAGCCAGTCTGTATGCGTACAAGTTGAAACAAGAAATTGAAGCACTGAAAGGTGCACCACAACCTGATGGACAGGTTGAACATTTTCACTAACAAATTCTACCTGCTTAATTGGCCATCGACAATGTCAAACAAACATATTTTCTCACTTCCATCTTTCTCAGCAACACACATCATTTAATATCATGTGTGTTTGACAGCTTCCTACGAGATGCACTGAATTAAGTGTTGTTACTCACCAGTCATTATATCTGCATATCTACGTAGTGGCCAATCAAAGTGTCTGCCTAATACAGTCCTACAGGAAGGGAATCGCGAGTCTGAATAGCTCGGTGGCAACATCCCTAAATGCATCACTGTGTGACGTGGATGTCACAATTTCAGAATGGACATGAATCCCTTGAGGACTGCAGATACGCCTTGATGACTGACTGGCGATTACTGATATGCATGAGACTTGGGTGAAGTGAGGTATCCTGACGGTTGCCTTGAACGAACTAATAACTATGACAGCCTAATCTGTTGTTCACTCTCACGACATATTGTTGTGAAGGAGTATACATTTTAGTCTGTCTGTGACTGCTAACTTCGATATTCTGTTGTTGGTTTCCGGAAATTTATTGATGTAATTTGCAGGCTTATATTTTATGGTAAATATACGTTATTTAGCAATTATCTAGGAGATAAACGTGTCGGATTTTGGACCAGTTTCATTCTCGAATATTCTTCACTGTTACATACAGGATTTATATTAGTAATTCAGTAATTAATTAATTATTCTTAGATTGGGGTATTGTAGTTTTGTTCACGCCAAATTTCTTAAATATACACCAACAAACAAACGTGGAGAATTAGATGGTGGACAAAATGCAGAATGGCGATTACCGCAATACAACAATGAGCTCAATGATTCAATCTGAACTGTGATCAAAATTTGACCGTATAAGCCCAATGCTCTACTCAAAATAATTTCATTGATTTCAACTTTCATTAGAAGCATACAATTAAACGTCTGTCATAACGACATGATTGAATATACTACTGACAGATATCTACAGTTGGATATCTCTCTCTCTGTCCAGAAAATGAATCCAACCAATCCACAAAAGTCTGACCAACGTGAAGAAAGTATCACAGAGACAGATTGTTCGCTCACTCGGAAAATCTCACCACTTATAACGAAGCGAGAAAGGAATAATCACGTGTTTGGAGATAATTTTTTCAACTTGTAGGGTATAATTCGGGAGACAAATGTCGAAAGTGGTTGTTAGTCTACAAATATCAATATGCAAAAGTTGATTATTCTGTTTTACTCAGTCTTTCATACATTCCAACGAAATTGATGAACGCAGATTGACGTTCCTATGAGAACAGATCTGTCTCACTACACACCTCATGAATTACATTGCCAATATATTCAGATGGTCTATCGGAACCATTGCGATAGTCGCAATACTCGTCAACTCTTATTTCGGTTTACTATGGATAGCTAACCTGTCTGTTTGTTCACAGAGAAGACAGAACAGTCAATCTGTGGAAAGAAATCCCAGTGATGATCAAAATGAATTACAACCAGAATCATCGCACATTTCATTACGTCGATCTACTAAGGTTCACATGTCACTCATTCTAATTTCTGGATTTGTTATGCATCTGACAGTAGGAGTGAGAATAGCCCACCTCACTTTGACTGGAAACGACGTGCGTGTTATCTTCGGTGAATGGTTCTGTAGGATTCACATGTTTTTGAGTTTGTTTTCATTGGATACCTCTAATTGGTGTTTCGCTCTTCTCTGTCTCGAAAATCTCTTCCATGTATTTCTCGTCAGAATCCATCAATCGACATTTGTTAATTCCGGAAACTTCATCATAATTCAACTGATGATTGTCGTTACGACTGTGCTGACAACAAGCATCCCATCTCTAATTCCATCAAACAGAATATGCGATCAGTTGTATCTCAGTATGAATTATGTGTACAGCAGATTTGTCCTAAGTTTACTGCTTCCTTCAGTTATTTCAATTGTTTCCTCTACTCTCCTGATTAAAATGATATATAGGCGAGAAGTGTTGGTGAACACCAGTCAGCATAAAACTTCCTCACCTATGGAAAATTCTTCCGATGTGTCTGTATCACCAGGACATAGAATAACTGCAGCGAAAGTAAGAATATCGACAGCCTGTTCGTTGCTTTTCCTTCAGTTTCTGATTTATTCATATTTCAAGAAATGTAGTAACTACGGTTGTTGTTTAGTAATTCAAAAACCACTGGGTAATGAAGAATATTATTTCTTGGCTTTAATCCTAATACATTTCATTCTCAATACACTTCAAAGTTTTCTCTTAATGATATCTCCACCAAACATGAACTGCAGCCATCAAATCATATATGTGATGATTCGGAGAGTACTCCATCAGAGAATATGATCACACGACTCAAGAAACCTTTTATAGTGAATGCCTCAAATGAAATCCACTGTGTCTCAAGCTGTAGATGTCTACTAGTCGAGAGTTCCTGTTAGAAGATGAACCAATGACGCATTGTTTGTACCCGTTGTTTTAATCAGAACCTCTTTGTAACTATAACCTTTATGCATGAAAGTAATGCACACGCGTTTCTTCACGCCTGCTTTCTCCTCGCTTCACAACTGCCTGTTTGCCATACTGATAATCTGGTCGTAAATTACTGCAAACATCCATCCTCGTCTAAAGAACACCACCACCACCACCGACAACAGCAGCAACCTTGTTGGCAAAACCTACAATGGAGTGAAATTCGTTTAAAAATGCTACACAGATTGTATCTCTGGGAATCCCTGTCAAATTGTTAGAAAGTGAACCTAATCCCATCTACGAGTGACTGTAACTGAATTGACAGAAGACAGGTAGTTCAGCGAAGAGTCTCTTTTCAGCGAATTCATTTTCATAGCTGTACAATCGCAAATATATATGGTTGTTTTTTATGTGTGTGTCCATTAAATTTGTCAAACGAAAATGCAATTAGTGAGTTCAGATGAATTGGATGTTGATATATTAGAGGGTAGTAACAAAAGTGATGAGTTTTCATAAACGATTGTTAAAGCACAGTTACGTAATAACATGAATAGTTTGATGAAAGAGCTGTACTCAGGGTGTACATGGAAACAAAATATACGGAATTACACAAGGGTTTTAGGTAGAAAAATAAGCATTCAAACGAAAGTTAGGTCATTTCAAGCAAACAAACAAAAGTTAAGTCAAATCAACAGTTTTTACCATTGGAGTAGAAGTGGTTGAATAATTTTCTTTTGTATGCATAGTTTTGGTTCCTCTAACTTAATGGCTAGGGCTTATACGATGTAAAGAAGAGAGATTCCTAATGTCTTAGGAAGGTTATTCTTCACTTTGCAGACTACTTTGAAGGAGGCGTTTGTTGAGATGGAATGACCAATGTTGACGAGGTGTTCGATTATTGCACTCCTTATGCAGCCAATACTTCCTTTCTGCAGCCATGCTGGATAGTGTTCTTTGACCCTTTTTGACAGGATGCGCGTTGAACGACCGATGTATCTGGCTCCACAGCAACAGGTGAACTGATATATACACATAGAAGTGGTCAGGTGCGGGATCTTGTCTTTCGGGCTTCTGCAGATCAGCGGGCGACTAGAGAACACTACTCTCAATGTTGCCGCAAAGAAAGTTCTTCTTAAAGAAGTGGAAATTCTCCTCCTAAGGATATCACTGAGTTGGTCACCTCTGAAGTTGAGGTTCATATAAAGTATCGTTTTTGGCACGGATGCTGTCTCTTGCTTTTGGACTTTTTGTTTGATATTTTTGTCTACGAATCTTGATGGGTAACCGTTTTGTATGAAGGTTTCTTTCAGGAAGTGCAGTTCTTCTTCCATGGTATTAGAGCTGCAGATGTGGTGGACACGAGTGGCAAGAGATCTAATTAGGTTTCATTTCCGACTGATTGGTACCCAGCTGTAGAAGCTTGTCAATTGGCCGTTCCATGTGGGTTTCCTATGGATGGATTTTCTTAAAGTTCCGTCAGCTCTCCTTGTAAGTTGAACATCAAGAAAAGGGATTTTAGATTCGTTTTCAATTTCAAGAGTGAACTTTGTGCCTGGATGGCATTTGTTGAATATTTGCAGTAACTGATTGAGATCGTGGCCGTCATCACAGATAATAAAGATGTCGTCCACATATCTAACATACTTTTGTAAAAAATTATATTTGTAAAATCTCAGCGATATTGAAATAAGTAATTCCAACGTTTCGTTCGGCAATCTGGTCCGAACTTCTTCAGGGAAATTAATCAAAATTAACATAACAGAGGTCTACTTCTCACTCGGCGCCCAAATATTTTAGAACTATTCGGTCAAATCTTGACGACAGTTCATTTGAATATCTAACATACTGTTGGAAATTGTCAATAGTTGATTTGAGTGGGCCGTTCTCGAGGTTTGCCATGAAGCAGTCTGCTAGTAATGGGCCCAGTGGAGATCTCATTGCGATCCCATCTTGTTGTCTGTAAATAACATCGTTGAATGTGAATTACACATTGAGTGTACATCTCAGCAGTAGTTCTATTAAACAAGTCGTCGGTAATCCGATGTTTAGCCGATTTCCTTCTATGTATTGGCAAATGTGGCAGATAGTTTCTGTGAGTGGAACGTTGGTAAATAGTGACTCAGTGTCGAGGGAGAGCATATTTTTGTTCTTTACATTGAAACCTTTGATGTGATCGGCGAATTGGGGAGTGTCACGAAGCGAATAGTGGCACATTTGTTTTCGTACAGGTTCTAAAATTTCAGCTAGCCATTTCGCTATTGGATAGTACGGGGAACCTGACATATCGAGAATTGGACGAAGTGGGAGGTTGAAAGAAACACAACAACAGATTGACAAACAAATCATCGATGTCCTCAAGGGAATTGAAACCGAAAAGTTGATCACTCATAAAGTCTGTGATCAGATCCGACCGACAGGATCAATAATGCCAAGACTGTACAGCTTACCAAAGATACGTGAAGCCAACCTGGGGGTTGTTGTGGTGCTCTATTTGACCGAACTAGCGTATACGTATATCCTAGTACTTCTTCGCGTTTATTATTGTGTCCTAACATTGTGATTACTCGACATTCACAACGTAATTCAAAAGGCACTTGAGAAGGAGTACGAACGTGTATTATCTCAGTAATCAAAATTCAAAAGTTGAGCGAGCACAATGTATCAATTGTTAATACGCAATCGTTAGATTGATAAACAAATCAAAGTCCAGTTACATAGTGAAAGTATACTACGATGATGAATAATAAGATTGGCCACTACAAGTTTGTCGCTGTGCTTCTTTACATTCTCTTCCGTGTTACTCTCCTGACAGCTATAACTACACTTATTATTATTATCATTATTACCAATATATATATATATATATATATATATATAATTCATATTATTCTTAAAATTTCATCAGCTGACTGTTGTTACGTTTTCTTATTTCTTTTTCTGTCTGTTAGTCTGAATAACTTCACTAATTATATCTATTATTATCTCTTTTCTTTTGACGACGATACCGGAGGACTAACTGGTGAAAGGATTAACTCCATTCACAGCAGTAACAGTCTCAACACACCTCATACTACGAACCACATATAATTAATCCCAGCACTACTTCTTTTGGAGTCAACCTAACCTACGACAATCGAGTGGCTGGATGAGCTACGCAGAAGTTTACCAAAGATCAGGGACCTATAACTCACAATCAAGAGGCGAGCAAAAAGAAATCAAATTGATTTATACTAGCTCGTAAAAACGATGGTGGTTATTGAATCATAACTCTGGCTGTTCATAGGGGTGTGAAAATACCATCCTTCTCTGCAGTGTACATAGGTTCATCAGCAATAGTTAATTTGTCTTATTGAGTGAAGTTAAGACAAACACTATAATTGGAAGTAAACTGGCTAAGCAATTCGATTTTGGTTTTAAGTATGATATTATACATGACAG